GCCTTGCGCCACAAGGTGTTGCACGCCCTCAGGGCCAAGCAAGGACATCAGCTTGTTACGCCTGCCCTGCATGCCCTAGGATCGGTCTAAACGACTCAGTGTAGATTGACTACTAGTGCTACCAAGTGCAGCGGGGCTACCGTAGCTTAGCGCTTGAGGAAGCGTAATTCAAATCACCGACCTTTCGTTCTTTACAAGTACCGATACGAGTGTATCGGATCGCAATCTGCTACCTCCAAGAGTAGTTAGTACCTTAATAAAGGCTGATAAACGCTTCGGTTAAAACGCAAAACTGATTTTTATTTACTTTTATCTGTGGCTAAATCGCCTAATTTTAGATGTATAAATTTTCCTAAGTATATACCGTAAAATCTAAATTCATGCATAACTACTGGCTACCTAGCCACATACCGTATTCTTGTTTGGGTGCAGTCATGCACATCTCGTGTGACACACACCTCTGTTACGGGTACGTGTAACCCCGTTACATAACTACTGGATACCTAGCCACATACCGTATTCTTGTTTGAGTGCATTCACACCATGCCCATCTCGTGTGACACACACCCCTGTTAGCAGGGTACGTGTAATTTCGTTACAGAGCAACAGTAAAATGTTTATCATTTGCAGAATGGTCACTTCATCTTTGATTTCAAATGGGTAAACATAGGCAAAAAATAAATATACGACATCGTCGCCTTTGCCACCGGTAGTGGCTAGTGCTGCTGGCGTGCAACCTCGCATGGCTTGCTTGATATACTTATCAGTCTGATTGAAGTGGGAGTTGGCTTCTTCAGCGGTTTACTCCGCGATTGCTCGAGTGCGTGCAATCCTTTTTCTCTCTCTCTCAATAAACATTCAATTTACGAAACCACTTGAAGTGCTTACGATGTCTCAGAAGTTGAGAATGTGCGTTTTCGGCGTGTTGGGTTGGACTGGTGTTGGAGCCACTTCATTGAGACGTAGCACCAAGCGGGAATTTACTTTTACCATCAGATTCAGAATTTCTTTGCGTCAGTCTACCTTCACAGCAATGTTTCAAATGTACCGCGCAATTTCTCAATCGACAAAAACTGACCGATAAGCTTCACTATACGCTCATTGTGTATTGTTCTGCAGCTCAATCTTGCTAGAAAATTTATCAGGTTACTACCCCACTCAGAGAAGCTTGCCTTCGTCAAGACAAGGACAGGTTCAGCGAGTCAAAAGTGGAGAGTTGTGATGCAAGGAGGTTGTCGTGTGCCGCGCTTCGAGATGTCTCTTTCTTTACAGGTCCGCATTAATGTACGCACACAGGATTGGTTTGTGCACTCCACCTAGGACGGAACCGAGTTGCTCTCGAATAACCAATACATTTTGCTTTGATTCAAGAGTGACATATATTTTAAAACTGGGATAAATCTAAGATACATATATATATACTCCGGAGTATTATATTATCCACAGTAACCAGACGTAATACACAGTGTAACGCTAGCAGTCATTAACGAAGTCCCATTACCGTCATCTGTACCGAATACTAATCAAGATTACTTTATCAGGGCATTTTACGTTGGTAACTTCTGAGCGTCTCATAAAACGAGCGTCACGTGTACGTAAATCACCACACAGCTATAGCATGTGTATCAACACTAACGGCACACCCAGTGCATTACTAATGGTTCGTTGTACACCTACAGCATCATTAATGGAAAATACACCTAATTCAAGTTTGTGTAGGCGATACAGAAATCGACGAGCGCCTTGATGATGATTTACACTCTTGAAATTAAGGCCTGTTCGCTGTCACCAGCGCTGTCAACGGCAGGCTATACCACTCAAGTTATTTCTGTGCCAGTCTTCACACCTTTAAATTTTATGTATCAATATGCGCTTTTGGAAAAGTTTCCCAATATATGCTGTACAAATGAAAAGGAAGGTTGCGAGATTGGTCGTTTACAATTACTTCGCTTGACTCTGGTGCAAAAACCATTGAATTAAGATCCACTTTATTTAGCTGATGCCAATGGATTCTTCCACGGCAAGAAACCGGCTCTACATTGACGGTCTGCATTATAGAATCAGGTTATTAACGAGTAATGGTTCCGTGCTGCTACAAGTCTTTTTCATGGATTCTTCCCGCCATGTGCAGCATATAAATTATATTATTTGGGCATAGTGCAAGAGCATACTATGCATACATGATCCTGTAACGACATTTGCAGCCATCGTAAACAGCTGGTTCATAATTTTAGTAAAAATTTTATGCGACGGTGATGTCGATCATTTTATTTTTAAAGCTCGAACACGCGAATCCAATCTAGTTCTTGGATCATGAAAACCCTTTCGGCGCACGTCACTGGCTTCTATCGCTCATCCTTTCATGCATACACGACGGAAGTGATGGTGGACGGTCATCGCTGGCGTCTTGGACTTCGCTACAGCAAGTTTCACGAGTTTTATAGTCAGCTCGAGGCCATAGCGTCTGATTTTGATGTCGAGTTCCCGCCTAAGGGCACACTCTTCTTCACTCCAAAGCCTGAGGAGCGTCAAGAACAACTTGAAGTGTTTTTGCAGAAAGTTCTTGCGTACTACGCTGCTAAAGATTATCCCACCGAAATTGAGACTTTGCTTTGTGACCTTCTTAAAGTACCACGCCACCTTAAATCTCCCGAGCGTGACGACGATGATATTTCCACGAGCACCGAGAGTGGTCTCGACGAGCCGATCAACGATACTTCGTCTAACTCTGACAACACTGGTCGTGTTCAGAAAGATGTCGATGAGGAAAAGCTGGTGATTACAGAACAAGTTGATGATGTGATGACGCTCAAATTTCCAAATAAGGACGAAAAGTTGTCTGTTGCTGCTCCAGATTTGGTGCAGCCAGCTAATCTAGTCATTCAGGAACCATCGGAGAAGACAATTGCTGATGACGGAAAGGAGATTGAGGTAAGAATGTCTTCTGTATCGGAGAAAGCTGTGACAGTAGAGGAGACAATCATCGGCTTCCAAGCAGAGGTAGCGGTGGAGGTTCCTGCTGTCAAAGAGGTAGCTAAAAAACCTGAAGAGACAATTGCCGATAACGACGCAATCCCGGAAGACGAGGCGCCTGCCGTGACAGTGGAAGGTGTATTAAATGACGCTGCAATTGCCGACTTCAAAGCAGTGATAGAAGCAGAGGTGCCTGCATTATCGGAGACAGATGTGACAGTCGAGGAGACAATTACTGACTACGAAGCGGAGACAGAAGTGGTCGTTTGTGTTGGAAAAGTCGAAGAGACAATTTCCGTTTACGAAGCAGAGACAGATACGGAGGAGCCTGCTACCGCAGAGGAAATCGGAATATCAGAGGGTGCAATTGCCGATCTGGAAGCAGAGACAGAAACTGAGGTGTTTACTGCCACCGTGGAAACTGTAATCTCAGACAGTGCAATTGATGATTTCGAAGCAGAGACAGAAGCGGAGGTACCTACTTCCTTAGAGGAAATCGGAATATCAGAGAGTGCAATTACCGAAATCGAAGCAGAAATTGAAGCGGATATGCCTGCTGCCTTAGACGAAGCTGATATCTTAAAGAAGACGGCGGAGGACGAGAGAGACGAAAGGGTAGTTGCCGTTGATGAGACAAAGCAAGCCAACACGGAATGTGTTGCCGTACGATCTTGTCCAAAGGAGCTTGCGAATGAGATCGTTGTCGAGAAATTCGTTACGGTTGGTGATGCTCTTGACGAGCAAGTAAAGGCCACTGGACACAATGAATCAGAGCAACAACTTCCTAATGAGTTCGCTGCGATGATTTTACAAGCGCCGCAGGATGTCGGGAAGCCAACAGCCAGCGACATCACTACAATTCATGATAAAGTGGAGCACAAGAAGCTTGCCACGTCTTTCCGGATCGCCGCGTATCTTCCGAAGCCTATTACCGAATTCATTCGAAGCCGCTGCATGAAGGCGACAAATCTGGCGATATTGTGTATCGCATTGTTGCTGCCTGTCGTGCTCACCCGCAGATAAGTTGGTCATATCGGGTCATTAAGCCCAGATTAAGTTTAATTGATTTCAACAATATTTTCAGCTCACCGTAACCTTTAAAAAAAGGCTTACTTTACAATATATTTGTGCACTTCACTACTCATTTTGCGTCAATCTGGTATGCGAGACCGCCACGTGTAATGATTGCAACTGCGACAAAATGATAGGACACCTCCTAACTTAACTGATTCAGATAATTGTGCAGCTTTAATTTGGACACCAGTGTATTGTACTTAGTAACGTTTATGAGAGTGTCTAGGGTAATCCTGAGGCTCGGAGAAGCGGACAATGACGTAGACGATACGTTCCGTCCACGATTAGGCTTGACATGTATGATGGTAGAACGCCTGATGCGGTAGTTGAAGATTTGGATGCAATCCGAGATGCGGTGAAGGACAAATACAAATACAGTCAGTCGCAAAGTTTGCTGCATTCGAACATTAAATTCTTAAGAGTGTCGCAGAAGCGGAAGCAGGTGTTGAGGAAAGATTCGCACGTTGGATTGTTGACTGGTTCGAAGAAGGTTTCGCAAGTGCTCAGCACGCAATTAAGAACTTTTGCTATTTGGTCCTCTCCAAAGTACGAGAGAAGGTAGTATTTTTGTGATTATGGATGAAGACTAATGTAACTATAGTCTCGATTAAGACTTGAGATTGACTAAAAAATCAAAAGACCATAAGAGTGCGCTTTTTTGCAATGTTTTCCGGAGACTCCTCCACAACATTCAAACGATCCGTGGTGACTTTATTGCGGCAAATCTTTTCGTGGGAGGTCTTGATCGTTATAAAGTTGAGACCGAAACGAAATCCCATTTGATAAGAATTGCGACTCGAGAATCTTCAGCGCGGGGTATACAAGAATCCATAATGTGAGCGCTGACGGAGACTTCGGACGCTAAAGCAAATTCCAATTGATTATCAGTCACATCGTATACTTCAATGCCGAGAAGAGATGAGGCCGAAACAAGATCAAACGTCTTCTCGATTACTGGGCTTCCATTGCAAATATGAACGATCTGGTATTAGCGACCTCAGAGTCGCAAAGTCTACCTCAACATTGAGACTAACGACTTTGACAATTAATACCGTTTGCTTCAACGCCAATACACGAGTATGTTGCCTAACGATGTTGTCGTAGCACGTTTTCGCTAGACTTACAGTAGTAGCATTGACCCTAAATATATGTACTTTTGAAATAGTAGAGTAAACTAGCAGACTGAGTCACCTTAGGTTCCGCAACTGGTAATTTCTCGCGAGCCCATCACTGCTCATTTGTTAACGCAGACTCATTGACTCAAACCGTTCTTTGTGCAAAGTACACAGCAATTTCGTTGCTGGCTCGAACGAAGGGCCTATATATACGTTTGCTTTTGAGCTTACCTACAATTGCAAACAGCATCTTTTTAACAAGTTATAAGATCAAACCTTTATTGCGACTGAGCATGTCACGAACAACGAGGCTACCTTAAATAAGTAAAGCGAGTGACATGGTGTTCATAAGGAACGCTCCCGAAAGAATCTATCACCAGCAAGGAAATGGGAATGGTCGATGTGAACCGTGAGAGGTCTCTCCACATACCACTCAAACAACTTGATCAAGGTATAATTTTATTGATGGGACTGTCAGAGGAGGAACCGAAGACGTACACGAAGGACATCCGCGACACGGAGGTTGAAAAATGGAATTTGGTAATGCGTAAAGAAGTCTTGACGCTTAAGTACAACACCGTTTGAAATATAATCAAGCAAATACATAGGATGATTTTTTATAGAAGGGAGAAGAGAGTGCGGGTGGGTGCGCTCAGACTGAGCTTATTTTTGGCGCACATCATGCGTTTTCCTGGGCTGCCGCTATGAACATGCCGACATTTTAGACAATCCTAGTACTTGAAGCAACGCGGGTGGTGACAGCAAAGCTCGGTGAATATTTTGAATGTGTAAATCAAGGTAAACATGATGGGAAATTTTTGAAATTATGCTGCAATTTGCTAGTGCTATGAAAATCAAAGACGATCAACTCACGACGCATGATGCGACCAATGCAAAGTCGTACTTGAAGCAAAGAAGGGCTAGATTCCGTAATTAAAGCTTGACGACGGTAATTTAACAGTTGTCGTTGTGTACGTTGAGAATCTCTCTTGTCACAGCAAAAGATGGTGCGGTGGTTGAATGTTTTTATAATGAAATGTCTTTGATCAAAAATCTCAGAGAAAGCCTGAAGTATCTCGGTGTAAGAATAACAACAGTCTACGCACACGCATAAGATCTCGATTGGAATGATGCTATTGGTGCGCGTATATCCGAGTACGGTATGGCATCGACAGACCGAACGCGCGCGCCTAGTGGTAACGACGCCTACGACGAGGTCACAAAAATAGACCCCAAAAGAAAACATGGACTCATATTGCCGACTATTCTTTTGTTCCGTTCGCTCGCTGATAGTCTGCAATGAATCTAAATTTACTCGCGTCAAGACATCGCTATTCGATTCGCAAAGAAACGCGACAGACACATGCGCTATGTATACGATACTGAAAGCTGGCAAGCGATATACCACTATCTTAAAGATGGCAAAGTTATGCGGCTTCAAGTGCGCGGTAGCACCGAGCGCAATGTGCCAATGACGCTCGAGTCTTATGAGGATGCTGGCTTTGCCACTTAGAAGGGAGGCGGAAAGCTACCAGCTGGTGCTGTAATGGGGTGAGTACTGTACTGTTCTAATGCAATTAGACAAATAAACTTAATGCACATCGCACTTTTATATATTTGTGAATGTTTACAAGTGCCGAAGTACTGGTGTTTAAGGGGCTCCTTAAAGGAGAGGTGCACGTATACTGGGGCTGCTAATCGCTCGTCAAGATATAAAAGTTGTTTTATTACGAGATGCGGTAAAACATACGCATTAAGCATCATTTAACATTAAAATGGAAAAGCAGAGCACGTTGACAGTCTTAGTCACCTAGGAGGCTCTCAGTTCTGCTCCCGGGTGGAGCGACCCAACTCTGTGTGTTTGTTACTGCAGTACTTTGTGCCAAAGAGTTTCTCAACCATTGGATACGGCAACGTGCCGTAGTGCTGCTAAATTGAATATCCGTGGGCTGGTCGGCCAATAACGTGTCTTTCAATTATAAATCCCGCGTTTGTCGCCGCATCTGATACAGTACACAAGCTTCCCGGTATCTAGTATATGCTAAGATGGTTGAACTAACGCCAGCTCTACCTGTGCAAATGCAACTGGATAACTCGGATAAAAACTTTAATACTAAACGGAGACTGTATTATCGAAAGCCATATACATTGATGTCTGAATGCACTTGTCGCCAATACTGAATACAAATCAAGCTCGCGAGCTGTAAAACACAGTATTTTAGGCATTGTGGTGTGATTGCGTTTAGAGACGGAGATGTTTTGCAAGTTAATACGTAACTACAGGCGTAGAAGAACTATGTGGCTGTCGAAGTTGTTGGTCGCGCATTATGAGGTGTTCACTTGCGTCGTCGTTAATATCGAGTCTTATGTCGAAATCAGATGGTAAAGTAACAAAGGAAAGGATTAAAGAAAGCACTTAGCCAAATTTTAATCTGTCATTGAGCAGGCGTCAGCCCTTGATAGTAAATATATCTAAACCTTTTTTACAGAGTATCAACCCTTTTGGAGCGTTTTACATTGCTGAATTTGATGTAAGTGGCTAATCTTTTCTGCTAAATGATGCAAAACAATTTGCCACTAAGATTTTGACATAATAGGCTTTGCTCTAACATCAAGAACATATTTAATTTGTTGTCCAAAGCAACATGAGACTAGCATTTATAACAAATGAATGAAGATCGTCTTGATTTGATACCAATATTCTCTCGCATCTCAACTAGGATGAAGTCGCTATAAAACTTTGTAATAAACTCATTAATATGCAACAGTCACTTTTCACTAGAACAAACGAAGTCTCATACTTAAAGCTCTCATTCCGCATGAGGCGTACGTGAGAGTCCATTCTCTGCGCTTCAGCGCAGCAAAACACTATACGTTTGATGTCGCAAGCATGAAAGCTGTAAAAAAGTCTACCTAATTCCTTTACCCTCGTATGCCCAGAACAAAATGTGAAATTTCAATGTACTTCTCCTCGGTAACTCTGGGCTTTGCTTCAAGCCGGGGGGGGGGGCAAGCTAATAGTGTAATGTGAACGTAAAGACAAACCTTGTCAGATCCCATTCTGAATTTTGGAAATTCAGCTAAGGTCCGGATCATTTTGCCTTTCTACAAGGCCGCACAAATCAAATGCTCACAGACACCTCAGCTGCCGCTAATTTTTCTCTTCTCTCCTCTTTCACGTTGCATATACTAGTACCTGCTTTTACTGGTAATTTTCACATCAAGAATATTCCCCTTCAACTTGTTCTGTCAAATCATCTTGCATAACGAGTGACCGAGAAAGTTACGACGCGGCATCGGATTTGCTCTCTAATGAGAACAATCACAGTGTCTCTCCTAGTCTCGATTATCACTTGCACCCTCACCTAGAGCTATACGGCCAAGCCGTACCTCATATACAAATTACCCCGAGGATAACACTTTTCTCTGCCTTCTACGTTACCTTGCACAAGCTGCATGCTTCGTATCGTTCCATCGAAAACACCTGCCGTTGGGCATACTACCAGGCTCAATGTGGTACAAATGAGCTTGATATAGCTCTCCGAGCTCAGGTATCGGAAGGCACCGGTGAGGCCCTTATAAATCTTGCTCAAAAAGTGTTTTGAGGGACCTTCCTTACTTCATAGTACCGCTACGTGGCTAAATCTGTATAGCAAGTGGTACATCTACATACGCTCTATGAAGACTGTGATTTGATAAAACTGATACGATAGATGCAACCTCTGGGTGAAAACTGAATGCTGACACATGTTTTACAGCTTGGTAGTAGCAGAGGTTTGACTGACGTATTTTGATGCTGAATATTGTGTAGTGCAAAGTGCGCCGTTTGTGTTAAGGTGAGCGCTCACAAATCCAGTTCTTCTTGTTGACAGCCCAGTTCATGTTCACATTTTGCTGGCACAACTAATGACAAGGTCTTGACAGTGAAGTTTAATCGGATCAACTCATTAGCGCAACGCTCGTTGGCTGTGAGACATTGCCGTTTTAAGAAGAGGTAAAATCAACGCATAAACGGCAACGGAGCCAAGGCAATCTTACTAAAGTTAAGAATAGCTTATTATGAGACCTCGAAGATTGATTCATCTTTCCACTCTACCAGACACTAATTTCGTCCCTAACGAGTCCCATCACAATTCTTTCTACAAGACAATGCCTTTCTCTTGCTGGCCAAGCTTAATCTTCCTACGACGTATGTCTCATCGTCATTGGAATCTTTTAACTCACCCAATATCAATTCGAAATTCGTCTACCATGCGTTTCTAAATCCTGCTCCTCGCCGTAGCATCGGGCAACCGGGGCAAGAAGCTCTGTTTTGCCAAGCTGTAATCACTGAATTCGCTCCGAAATGTGGCCTGACTTATACCAGCTAGTTATTTGAACTAGATCCAAAGCATCTTTCTATGATGGTCTAAAGGGAGTATGTCCGATCTTGTGCCAAACGCGTTGAGCAAAATTTGCCAATTGAACTTTTTTACGCGGAAATCGATCCGAAAAATGACCACAGGCAAGCTTGGTGGCAAAACAATGTCATCATATGGCTTGGCTGAATCCTCAACTTTAATTGTTTCGTTTACAGCAGCAAGATTAGCCTTATTTCCCAAGCGGCCCACAACCGGTTTAATCGAGATAAGTTCTTGGGCGGTATATTGACAGCTTGATGCATAATTCCGCTCTTGGGATGCCCATTGTGCGGTGCTATGTATCTAGGAGATTTAAGCTGTCATAATGAGCACCCTGAAGCTAGAAAATATGATGTAAACGCACTTAGCGTTAATGCGGTATAACAAAGCATCATTCGAGCTCAAAACACCTTGCCCCAAACTTCAACATGTTATATCGCAATTGTACGCCGAACGTACCGTCAATGCGCGAATGCATCATCACAATATGTGATGGCTCATCGTCTTGTCTACGCAAAAGCAAATCGGCCATCCCAACAAGCCAGACCGGCGTATATTCGATCAGATAATTGTACTCGGTTGACAATGTTAATCATCTCTATATTCCCTGCGAAAGATGCGGGTGCAATGTTACAATGCTTAACCACTCATCATTCGCATAGATCTCAACAAGCTTCGAGCCATGTGAAGTTTCCCGAACTTGGCAAGAGCAGACTAAATCGCGACTAGATCCTTGTTGAAAACGAAATAGTTTGTCTTACGATGATATACTTCAAACAAATGCCGAAGGAAAATAGACTGCAGTCTGTGACAAAGATCGAATAATCACAGATAATGTTGAATAAATTATCTAAATTCAAAATATCGGGGACCCATGAGACTGTCTTTTACAGCCTAGACGATTACCTTTGTGTCGTACACTAACATCATTTGACATCGTCATGTTGGCATACCTGTTGAAGTAGTTGACCAAGCCAGACCATTTTTGAGATTATGGTACTGACCAATCCATAATGTCCTCAGTCTTCACGGGGGCTTTCAACATATCATATTTACCAATGTAGCAATTCAAAAGGGGACTTCATCATCGGTTTACTCATACTTGCCTTAATAACAAGACATCATTATAAGCGCATTTTCTCGAACATTTCTCTCCAAAGTTTGATTTTTATGTCCATACTGCCCCCATTCGCGGCACAATTATGGAAGACCATTTTGTGGATGTACATACGCATGATAGGCGTAGAGGTAGGCATTTAGATGTCTGTCAGTACATTGGATATATACTCCAGAGAGAGTAACACCGCTTAATACCATGATAAGTTGATAATGTGCCCACAAGCCCCAATAAGGTGAAAGCAACCCGCACTGCTCTATTAGTAAAATCCGTTGACGTGGTATGAAATATATTGCTCCGCAAGCCAGAACATTTTCTGATTCACTCCCCGGATCGAGGGTAGTATTCTTGGCGGGTCTCTTCTAGTGTCCCATAAAAAGACGAAGATCGTAAGACTCGTGACGACAGCCGTTCGCTTCTCGCACTTGGTCCCTTGCGAGAGACTTCAGCATCGATTTACTTCATGACGGATGATGAGCTCAGCACTAGCCATATCAGCTCGCTGATCTCAGCGACTTACAATTATTTGCATACGACTCTAGGCAATGCTCAATCAAAGCTTCGATCTGGCGTCGTATGAAGAATTTTGCTTTCCCTAAAGCCACTCTTAATCACTAAAATCGAGACATTTTGTGTCAAAACCTCGTGAAGCGTAACTGCTCATCACAATGGACGTGTTTCACATTTTTGCGTTCTTAGCGGTACCTCCACTTCGTGGAAGAGGGAAGCCGTCCTTGCAACAAATAGTTCTCTGCCTCACAAATTTTTTTAAAGACCATAATTTATAGTCGTTCTTTTGAAGTTCCACCAGAAGAAATTTCTGGGGAAATCTGCTCTTAGCTGAAAATTTCTATCTAGATAGACCTTGAATTTTGGAAATCGCTACAAACGATCGCTAATTCCATTCTTGCCTGGATCGAGAAATATGTAGCAACTGCTTCTGCGCGAGCTAGCTCAATGCCTTACACATTATCGTTGCAATTTTCTTTTTACATCTAATGTCCTGTCACCGAAGCTATCACCTCGTGATGTTCGCGCTTAACTGGCATCTGCTTTCTACTAGAGGTGAGGTGACTATTCAACAGACTCTATCGAGAAAGGCATGCATGGTGCCGATTGTTTCGACCTCAATCAATCAGTGGCATATATCCTTCCGTATGCCATACCCAGGATTGGATTGTATGTTTAATCCGCGTTAAATGGCAAATAACCTTTTACGCTGTCTAGGTTTTCAGATTTCATGAATAGGTCCACAGAAAGTATTTACGTTGAGAATCCCCGTTACAGCACACAAGGATAGTGTATCAGAACTCGGCATTTTAAATGCATTCGAATAATTTCCACAATGGTCGACCATCGTGTTTGGTACATAATGTATAGTTGAAGCATGCAGGATAACTTATGATTGTTAATAGAACAGGTCGGAATGATAGCATTGACCAGTCTGACAGGGCACCACTTCTCTCAGAAAGAACTGCTGCATGGATGCGTATACATATTGACTACAACTCGAGCGAGGTACAATAGACGCACCGCTTTCCTGGTGGGTATCCTGTACCTTTTAAGACTACACGTTTCTTCTTAATTAGTCTGCTAGCGAACCGTGTTCAGGAGGTTATCGATAGAGAAAGGGGATCCAGAGCGTAGAATATTGGTTCTCCTGCACATATAACATCTTTGAAGGGGTGTCGCTTATTTAGAAGCTGAAAGGCCACCTTCTATATTGTCAGGCTGAGGCTCATCGCCTAAGGTGTATTCATTGATCTCCACCTCTCCAATTGATCATTGTGGCCAAAATAGCCCCCCGCACCCAATGTTACAATCATTGCATCATTAGGAAAGATTAAATGGACATGTCTGTTGTCGTAAACATGATCTTTAGCTATTCATTGCTGAACAGCAGTTCTCTACTCAAACTAAACTTGCATAGCGAAACATGAATATAGTGCACAATACCATTTTTACGGGAAGGGTCATCCATCATTCCGCCTGTAGAAGTTTTCAACTTCTGAACATAGTCCGCCACTACCGTATCCCCATACATGGCGAACAATAATTTCAACTGCACGAGGCTGTCTTTGTAAATCGATCAAAATGATTGAGACAAATATATATTGAAATATCTATGCTGAGAGCATCCCACGGTTTCGTTCATATGTGCTCAAACAACCTCTTAATTTGGAGATCGGAATGCATCCCGCTCTCAGACAAAATCAAGAATGAACACGATCTCTTCTATCCAAAGTTAGAGATCTTATTTGGATGCTGCGGGACGCCCAAAAAAAACGACCTCTCTCCGCATAGCTCTGTTGAAGGCATTTGTGCTTCCCCATGCACTAGGTAGAAACGCATTGGAAGTATCTCAATGGCGCTACGTTTAGCCCGCAAATTCCACTAAGCGAAGGCTGCTTGCGTAATCTCCTTGGGATCAAACAAAGACAAAAGGTTGAAGTCAAATTTTGGAGCTTGGAGAAGAGGGGGTGCATTTTTTTCAAACTCGGTCGCCAAATTTATGACAGGTGATATCATTTGCAACACGGTTG